CGGCCCTCTCCTACGCGGCGGGTCGCCCTCGCTTGGGCGGGCGAGGGCGGCCCTCGCTCGACGCCGGCGAGGAGATATGAAAGAGAGAAATGTGAAATTTTGTGTATATTGTGATGTTTATATTAACGAAGAATACATTAGGCTATTTATAAGTTTTATTAGATTACTATTCTAAAATAATATCTCAATAAAGATAATGTATAATCAAAGGGAGATATACGTGCAACACATGTGCAACATTCGTGCAACATGCGTGCAATCATGAAAGATACAAATAATCAACATAAAATTTCATAATTATGCTAGATAGGAATTGTGAGCAATTTGATGAGCATTGTTCCTGAACAAACTGTCCTTTCCTTGATCATCAGATGGAATCCCAGAAGTTGACACAAACTCAGCATATAGCTTTTCATCATTATCCTCTTTTCTAGGATCAGTAGTTGCACTTTTCGAATGCAGTTGAGGTTCTTTCACAACGAGTCTATCATCCGAACCAGCGTAGACGCTTCACCTACTTTTCTTTGCCTTTTCTCGAAGGCCCCGTTTTTCCGTTGAACGAGTCTCCGTCGCACTTTTCTTGGAAGGAGTTGTCTCCTTCAAGACAATGCCTTTTCTCGCTATTGGTGAACCTCCCCACCTTACACCTTTCTCATACTCTTGCCATACTTCTCTTTCAGACAGAAAACCTAATGTGCGACACACTAGATTAACCGTGCTTTGATCACTTCGGCTTTCTCGAAGAAGTTTTATGGTTTTAATCACATGTTTTGCCATCTTAAAAGGAACACATTCACTAACAGGAGTCCTTGGAGATTTGTTACCTTCTGATGTCTCCTTGTCTGAGCCCGTGTCTGATATTTCAATTAGCTCGAGTTCTTCATGATGAGTCGCCGTGGAAGACATTCCAGCGAGGCGGTTTGATCGTCTTGAACCCTCGATCACTTTCTTAGAAACAGATGCAGATTTGGGTGCCATTGCAGAGATTTTGAGGAATCGGGAAGAAAGGTGAGATTTTTAGGGCATTGGAGTTTTTGGAGAGAGTCGGATTCTGAGTTCGTGAGAGAGTGAAAGACGAAAAGGTAAAAGGGTTTATACCACCGAAAACCCCAAATTGATACACGTTTGACAATTTTACCTTCAACTTTTTTTTTACCACTAAAAACCCTAAACTGATATACATGTGACAATTTTACCCCGAACATACCCCAAAAAACCCCAAACTGGTACACTTGTGACAATTTTACCCTGAACATATCACAAAAAACTCCAAACTGGTACACATGTGACAATTTTACCCTGAACTAAAATTTTAATATTATTTTTTTATTTTTTCGAATTTTTATTAATTATTTTGCTTTTTCTTTTTTTTTCTTCATCTTTAACATTTGGCCGGTCGCTGGACCGGCGATCGGCCAGAGGTGGAAGCCGACGAGGTCGGCCCCACCGGCTGCTGGCGAGGGCCGCCTTCGCCGGCGTCGGGCGAGGACGACCCTCGCCTGAGTTGGGCGAGGGTTGCCCTCGCCGGATCTAGCGAGGGCGACCCTCGCCTGCGTCGGGCGAGGGCTGCCCTCGCCGGCGTCAGGGAGGCCAGCCCTCGCCCTACGTAGGCGAGGGTCGCCCTCGCTTGGGCGGGCGAGGGCGGCCCTCGCTCGACGCCGGCGGGGGCGGCCCTCGCTCGACGCCGGCGAGGCGGCCCTCGCTCGACGCCGGCGAGGCGGCCCTCGCTCGACGCCGGCGGGCGGCCCTCGCTCGACGCCGGCGAGGCGGCCCTCGCTCGGCCGCCGCGAGGCGGCCCTCGCTCGACGCCCGTCGAGGCGGCCCTCGCTCGACGCCGCCGAGGCGGCCCTCGCTCGGCGCCGGCGAGGGCGGCCCTCGCTCGGCCGGCGAGGGCGGCCCTCGCTCGGCGCGGCGACGTGCGGCCTCGCTGAGTCGCCTCGCCGGATCTGGCGAGGTCGGCCGTCACCCGACTCAGGCGAGGGTGGCCCTTACCGAATCTGGCGAGGGCGGCCCTCGCGGGCGTCGAGCGAGAGCTGTCTTCGCCCACCTAGGCGAGGGCGATCCTCGCTCGACGTCGGTGAGGACAGCCCTTGCACGACGCCGACGAGGGCCGCCCTCGCCAGATCCGACGAGGGCCGCCCTCGCCAGATTTCGCGAGGGCCGCCATCGCCCACGCCGGCGAGGTCGAGCCTTGCCATAGGCCAGCAGGGCCGACCTCGCCGGCTTTCGCCTCTGGCCGGTCGCCGGTCCGGCGACCGACCAGAGGTTGAAAATGAAGAAAAAAAAAAAGAAAAGAAAATAAAAAAATAAAAAAATTCTAAAAAGATAAAAAATAATATTAAAAAATTATTAGTTCGGGGTAAAATTGTCACAGGTATACCAGTTTGAGATTTTTCGTGGTCAAAAAAATAGTTTAGGGTAAATTTGTCACGGGTTTACCAGTTTGGAGTAAAATTGTCACAGGTGTACTAGTTTGGGGTTTTTGGTAGTAAAAAAAAAAGCTTGGGGTAAAATTGTCACAGGTGTACCAGTTTGGGGTTTTTGGTTGTCAAAAAAAAGTTTGGGGTAAAATTGTCACACATGTACCAGTTTAGGATTTTTGGTGGTATTAACCCAATTTCTTTAGTGCCCTTTATTTCATAGGTTAACGTCACGAAAAATCTCCAATCAATAAACCTGTGACAAAAAATTAAGTTTTTTTATCACGATGGGATTTTTTCGTTGTTTATCATTAGTGTACTAAATTTGATTTTTTCGTGATATTAATCAAATTTAACGAAAATTAACAAAGGCTAAATTTATCACGGATGTATCGATTTGGAATTTTTCGTGGTATTAATCCAATTTAACGAAAATTAACGAAGATTAAATTTGTCAGGGGTGTACCGATTTGGAGTTTCTAGTGATCGAAAAATTAGTATTGAGTAAATTTATCAAAAGTGCATCAGTTTAAGGTTTTTTGTTGTCAAAAAATTAATTTTGAGTAAATTTTTGCACATATGTACCAATTTGAAGTTTTTTGTAATTAAAAAATTAGTTTTTCCTAAATTTATCACAAGCGTACGAGTTTGGAGTTTTTCGTGGTATTAACAATCTTTTGACTGGGAATTTTTTTCTATATTTTATTTAATTTTCACAATTTTTTATTAAACATTATTTGAGTACCGAATATCAATTTAACCATCTCAGTGTGATGTATACATTATTTTGCTGATGTTGCATGTAAACAAGATAAATTAATCATGTTTCGATTTGGCTAAAACGTAATCACTAAAATGAGGTGAACTAGTAATACTGGTGTGATCATAAATGGTTATTAGATTGTTCGACAAGCAGATTTTGAATCGTACGTAATTCGAATGCAGAAAAGGAAAAGGAATGCAAACGAGAAAGAAAATGAAAATAAGTATGCTAATGCAAAGGAAAATAGAGATAAGTGCACTCGAAAGCTTAAAATTTATCACGAAAGTGCAATTGAGTCCTAAAACTTTCAAAAAGCACAATTAAATCTTAAAACTTGTCAAATTGGAACAATCAAATTTTCCGTTAACTCCATCAAACTTGGCTAATGAAAAATACTGACACGACCTTTGTTATTATTTTGCTCTTCTATATGGTGATAATATAGTTAAAAGGACGTCGTTTTGGTCTAAATATGATTTTTTATATAAATTTTTATTTAAGTTATAAAAAAAAAGAAAACTTACATATATAAAAACAAAAAACATAAGAAGAAAAATGCGAGTGAGGGCTGCCCTCACCATTGCCACCCCGCCATCTTTAGGAAGGGCCCGCAGTAGTGGGGGATGGCTAGTGATAGTGGCAGCCCTCGACCAAATTTGGCGGGGTTGCCAACTAACCCCTACCTCGCTGGTCCTTCCTGGTAATGGTGGGGCGGCGGCGGTAGCAAGGACTGAGAGCTTGAGTTTCTCTTTTTTTTCTTTTGTGTGTTGTGTGTGTGTGTGTTTTTTTTTTTTTTTTTAAGTTTGCTTATTTTTTAATACAAGTTAAATAAATTTGTATTAAAAAATTGTATTTGAACCAAAACGACATGATTTAAACTTTATGTTTCATGTTTTAGCCACGTCATCGCCATACAAGAGATAAAAAAATAATAAAAAAACCACATTAGCACTTTCCATTAAACCAGGTTATTATCCAAGCAGTAGCCGATCTAGTCGATTAAGATGCATAATGAGTATTTATTGCTAAATTACAAGGAGTCCAAATTCGATTTCCCAATGAAGAGATCTTGTTTGCCAGGACTAACTCGTGCCAACTACTCTACTTCCCTATAATTTCTTTCTAATTCAAGAAAAGAGTGAATACCCATAATTTTATTTCAAAATTCAAATCAAAATCAATACGATCTAGTCGATTAAGATGCATAATGAGGATCATATCTATATGATTATGCACTTATGGACAAATACAAACTCTTTCACCCTTCGTGTTTTGGGAGCCCACATCAATATTTGTTGACTAAAGCATATACTTCTCATTTAGTCATCTAATCTGAGCAATTATTACAATTGGGCCCCCCATTTTTTCGGTGCAAATGAGGTCTTCGAACTTTTTTTTTTAATCTAAGTCCTTTTTCTGATTAACACCCTTAATTATTTTGATGTGATTGTTTGATGTGCCTACTTTATTCTTCGTTCCACTGAATTTTAGAATTTTGAAAGTTCTTTCCATCCTTTTTTTTATAATATTAAAAAAAGGTACATCAAACAACTTGTTAACATAATTGAATTTCATAATCGTAAAAATAAATTGATTGGAAAAAAATCAAGCAACTTAGAAGATTAATTCGCACCAAAAGAAGTTGAGGACTCAATTGAAAAATTGCACAAGTTAGATAGTAAATTTGGACTTATCCCGGAACGATATGCACAATTGTATAAATTTTTTAAATTTGGGTAGCATCATTTATATCCTTAGGATAGGACTAGATAGGATATGATAAGAAATCCTGGGATTAAATTTGGACTTATCCCGCTTGGTGCTGGGCCGAGCACTGGTTGCCTTTCTTCTCCAGCCGCGGGTTCGACAGCTTCGCCGTCAGCTTGCTCGGTCAGGTAAACAAAAGCAAGAACTGTACTGTGTATCTCTCGCTGACGGATAGTCTCGGTCGATCCTTGTATCTGTGGCTCGAATTCAAGAAAGATCTGCATTTGGAAGGCATAGTTGCTGGTTTTTCAATTCTTTTTTTTACATTTACTAAGCGAGAGACGTCTTGGAGGTGGAGGAAGGGCAATGCACATCTATTTCACGCAATTGGAATGATCATCTGCGTGGAATTCGGAATTACGATGTTCATGATGGCTCATTCGCTGGCGATGAACTTGGTCCTCACAAGCACAGCTTTTTTTATCCTGATAGGAAATGCTTCGAAGCAAAAAAATATGTCCTCGAAATGATCTAAAATGAAATGAGAGGTTTGGATTGAAAGATATGGTTATTATGACTGCGGATGTTTGGTATTAAAAAGTTAATGCCTCTGTCAAATTAGAGAAACCCGGAGAAGTTGTTCGAGGTTGCAATGGAAAAGGGCGTCTGCCTTCCTGCGAAAGCTTTTAACACTACCGGTAGTAATTTATTACAAGCTGCTTTCAGGGTTACAGGAGGCATTAACATTTTCCTGACAATGTAACGCGTTAATAATGCTTGGCGTAGCGATTTCTTGACAAGTGATTTCTCCATGCAGTTTGAAACTTTTGGATTTAAATTGATCAGCATAGATTTTGTTCTCTCCTGTCTACTCTGGCTCTGGCTTACTTCTCCGAAAAAAAATGGCCTCCATATTCTAAACATAAAGTAGTATTTGTTTCTAGTCTCTTTTCTTGGTTTGTGAACCACACTTTCCCTTTTCTTGTCAGGGTGAAAGTGATACACCCTCCGCTCCTGTTGCTGGTTCACTCCAGGTATCTTGGCTCTTTGACCTGAAATTCTCTTGAAGGGGCTAATGTATTTTTTTTTACTTTTTTCTGTTGATCTAGGCAGATATATAGAGTGAGTGGCACTTTCGTTATTTATGCTTATCTGATACCATGCAGTAGACACATGCAGCTGATGTTGCCGACTTCATTGACAAAAAACTTAGCTCGCCTCCAGTTCTGCTTGGACATTCATTCGGAGGGCTTATTGTCCAGTACTACATTGCAAACATAAGAGACGAGCAACATACAGGTTAGCTTCTAGCTGGTTTTTAGTCTGCATTCTGGGATACCTGCATTGATGTGGTAGTAGCTATGAGGCTCTTGTCAAAATCTTTCTTCCTAGTGGCAAGGGATTTAAAATGCAGACATTTATATGATGAGTGGGAAAATGCTCCCATGATCTTAGTTCTCAATAACACGTTACTCATATGCATTAAGCTAGTCTTTGTACGTTGTGGATCTGGACATCTCTTTTAGCATATTTGAACACAATAATTAAATTCATGTGGTTCGTATTCAGTGAGATGTATATCTCGATTTTTAATCTGAGCCACAAGCATAAATCACAATGCACGCACCTCATAAGGCTTGAATCTTTTGAGCTTTCTACTTGTGCCAATGTTCTACTTAATGCTAGGATCTCTTCCTGATTGCTACTTGGATGTGCTTATTCTTTCATTGGAATCTCTTGGGTTGACCTGTATTCGACCTTTTACTCATATAATCTTTGCACACTTAATTGGCATTCATCCTGTTATGTGTTTTCTCTTTTTTTATAGAGGGATGGTTTGTTCCCGGACTTGGCAGGAGCTGTGCTTGTTTGCTCTGTACCTCCTTCTGGTAATAGGTGACTTCAGATCCCATAAGAAATACATGCCCTTCATTTACTTTACTGATTAGTACAATGGCTTTACTCATATTTTCTTCTGTTTGTTCAGTGGCATAGTGTGGCGATATCTCTTTACCAAACCTATAGCAGCTTTTAAGGTAGTTTCTTATCAATAAGAGAAACTATCCTCCTTGTTTCTATTCCAGTGTGATGTAATTTGATAATATAATGCCTTCGAATGTAACAGGTCACTCGCAGTTTAGCTGCTAAAGGCTTTCAAACTTCTCTTCCTCTCTGTAAGGAAACATTTTTTTCTGCTGCAATGGAGGATCATCTGGTGCAACGGTAGGTTCCTCTGGTTATACTTTTGGATGAGAATCTTCTTCAATATTCATTTTATCATATGTTAAACATTTATTAAAAATTATGTCTGCATAAGAAAAGCTTTAATAACCTTGATGCATTTCGAGACAAGAAAGGAAATGGAAATTAATTTGGACTGCTGCTGAAAGCTTATTCAAGAAAGCAATCTGGATCGCACTGAGCAATATAATCATTAATGTAACGTTCTTCATCGTTCTTGCTTATTAAGGTGTTGCTCTGACCATATTTCTTACCTAACCAGATTGACAATAAGGACATTGACATCTTGAAATTGCTTACACCCAAATACTTCAAATGCAAGTGTTCAATTTCCAATTTCTTCAGAATACTTTTTATATTTTAAGATAATTATTTCGTTGGGTGAGAAACTATCTAATTTATTAAAGTATGTATTGTAATCCTTGAAGGTATCCGACAATCTTGGGGGCCTAAACTTTTTCCTTTCCTTTAGTTATCAGGAACTAATGAAGGCTAGTTCGCGGATGCCATTGTTTGATCTAAGGAAGCTGAATGCTTCTCTTCCAGTTCCCTCTGTGCCAAAATCTTCTATTCAACTTCTCGTAGTGGGTGCAACTGATGATTTCATAGTGGTAAATGACTAAATTCTGTACCTTTTGCTACTTTCATCATTTGTGCTTGGTCATTTTATTCCATGGATGCGGTTGCAACGTTGTTGACACTTAGTTTTAATTTGCCCAAATTTAATTGCACAAAATTTAGGAGTTAATTTTCTTTAATTCCTAAAACAAAAAAAAATTTCTATTTAAATGCATTGCATATAGAAATTAGGCATTTTGCATTAATAGGGTCTACTAGAGTAAAAAAGAAAAAAAAAGAAAAAAAAGAAAAACAAAGAATTTCCGAGTTGGGCGGGGTTTAGGGTTTTAGGGTTTAGGTTTTAGGTTTTAGGGTTTTAGGGTTTAGGGGTTAAGGGTTTTAGGGTTTTAGGGTTTAGGGTTTTAGGGTTAAGGGTTTAGGGGTTAAGGGTTTAGGGTTTAGGGTTTAGGGTTTAGGGTTTAGGGTTTAGGGTTTAGGGTTTAGGGTTTAGGGTTTAGGGTTTAGGGTTTAGGGTTTAGGGTTTAGGGTTTAGGGTTTAGGGTTTAGGGTTTAGGGTTTAGGGTTTAGGGTTTAGGGTTTAGGGTTTAGGGTTTAGGGTTTAGGGTTTAGGGTTTAGGGTTTAGGGTTTAGGGTTTAGGGTTTAGGGTTTAGGGTTTAGGGTTTAGGGTTTAGGGTTTAGGGTTTAGGGTTTAGGGTTTAGGGTTTAGGGTTTAGGGTTTAGGGTTTAGGGTTTAGGGTTTAGGGTTTAGGGTTTAGGGTTTAGGGTTTAGGGTTTAGGGTTTAGGGTTTAGGGTTTAGGGTTTAGGGTTTAGGGTTTAGGGTTTAGGGTTTAGGGTTTAGGGTTTAGGGTTTAGGGTTTAGGGTTTAGGGTTTAGGGTTTAGGGTTTAGGGTTTAGGGTTTAGGGTTTAGGGTTTAGGGTTTAGGGTTTAGGGTTTAGGGTTTAGGGTTTAGGGTTTAGGGTTTAGGGTTTAGGGTTTAGGGTTTAGGGTTTAGGGTTTAGGGTTTAGGGTTTAGGGTTTAGGGTTTAGGGTTTAGGGTTTAGGGTTTAGGGTTTAGGGTTTAGGGTTTAGGGTTTAGGGTTTAGGGTTTAGGGTTTAGGGTTTAGGGTTTAGGGTTTAGGGTTTAGGGTTTAGGGTTTAGGGTTTAGGGTTTAGGGTTTAGGGTTTAGGGTTTAGGGTTTAGGGTTTAGGGTTTAGGGTTTAGGGTTTAGGGTTTAGGGTTTAGGGTTTAGGGTTTAGGGTTTAGGGTTTAGGGTTTAGGGTTTAGGGTTTAGGGTTTAGGGTTTAGGGTTTAGGGTTTAGGGTTTAGGGTTTAGGGTTTAGGGTTTAGGGTTTAGGGTTTAGGGTTTAGGGTTTAGGGTTTAGGGTTTAGGGTTTAGGGTTTAGGGTTTAGGGTTTAGGGTTTAGGGTTTAGGGTTTAGGGTTTAGGGTTTAGGGTTTAGGGTTTAGGGTTTAGGGTTTAGGGTTTAGGGTTTAGGGTTTAGGGTTTAGGGTTTAGGGTTTAGGGTTTAGGGTTTAGGGTTTAGGGTTTAGGGTTTAGGGTTTAGGGTTTAGGGTTTAGGGTTTAGGGTTTAGGGTTTAGGGTTTAGGGTTTAGGGTTTAGGGTTTAGGGTTTAGGGTTTAGGGTTTAGGGTTTAGGGTTTAGGGTTTAGGGTTTAGGGTTTAGGGTTTAGGGTTTAGGGTTTAGGGTTTAGGGTTTAGGGTTTAGGGTTTAGGGTTTAGGGTTTAGGGTTTAGGGTTTAGGGTTTAGGGTTTAGGGTTTAGGGTTTAGGGTTTAGGGTTTAGGGTTTAGGGTTTAGGGTTTAGGGTTTAGGGTTTAGGGTTTAGGGTTTAGGGTTTAGGGTTTAGGGTTTAGGGTTTAGGGTTTAGGGTTTAGGGTTTAGGGTTTAGGGTTTAGGGTTTAGGGTTTAGGGTTTAGGGTTTAGGGTTTAGGGTTTAGGGTTTAGGGTTTAGGGTTTAGGGTTTAGGGTTTAGGGTTTAGGGTTTAGGGTTTAGGGTTTAGGGTTTAGGGTTTAGGGTTTAGGGTTTAGGGTTTAGGGTTTAGGGTTTAGGGTTTAGGGTTTAGGGTTTAGGGTTTAGGGTTTAGGGTTTAGGGTTTAGGGTTTAGGGTTTAGGGTTTAGGGTTTAGGGTTTAGGGTTTAGGGTTTAGGGTTTAGGGTTTAGGGTTTAGGGTTTAGGGTTTAGGGTTTAGGGTTTAGGGTTTAGGGTTTAGGGTTTAGGGTTTAGGGTTTAGGGTTTAGGGTTTAGGGTTTAGGGTTTAGGGTTTAGGGTTTAGGGTTTAGGGTTTAGGGTTTAGGGTTTAGGGTTTAGGGTTTAGGGTTTAGGGTTTAGGGTTTAGGGTTTAGGGTTTAGGGTTTAGGGTTTAGGGTTTAGGGTTTAGGGTTTAGGGTTTAGGGTTTAGGGTTTAGGGTTTAGGGTTTAGGGTTTTAGGGTTTTAGGGTTTTAGGGTTTAGGGTTTAGGGTTTAGGGTTTAGGGTTTAGGGTTTAGGGTTTAGGGTTTAGGGTTTAGGGTTTAGGGTTTAGGGTTTAGGGTTTAGGGTTTAGGGTTTAGGGTTTAGGGTTTAGGGTTTAGGGTTTAGGGTTTAGGGTTTAGGGTTTAGGGTTTAGGGTTTAGGGTTTAGGGTTTAGGGTTTAGGGTTTAGGGTTTAGGGTTTAGGGTTTAGGGTTTAGGGTTTAGGGTTTAGGGTTTAGGGTTTAGGGTTTAGGGTTTAGGGTTTAGGGTTTAGGGTTTAGGGTTTAGGGTTTAGGGTTTAGGGTTTAGGGTTTAGGGTTTAGGGTTTAGGGTTTAGGGTTTAGGGTTTAGGGTTTAGGGTTTAGGGTTTAGGGTTTAGGGTTTAGGGTTTAGGGTTTAGGGTTTAGGGTTTAGGGTTTAGGGTTTAGGGTTTAGGGTTTAGGGTTTAGGGTTTAGGGTTTAGGGTTTAGGGTTTAGGGTTTAGGGTTTAGGGTTTAGGGTTTAGGGTTTAGGGTTTAGGGTTTAGGGTTTAGGGTTTAGGGTTTAGGGTTTAGGGTTTAGGGTTTAGGGTTTAGGGTTTAGGGTTTAGGGTTTAGGGTTTAGGGTTTAGGGTTTAGGGTTTAGGGTTTAGGGTTTAGGGTTTAGGGTTTAGGGTTTAGGGTTTAGGGTTTAGGGTTTAGGGTTTAGGGTTTAGGGTTTAGGGTTTAGGGTTTAGGGTTTAGGGTTTAGGGTTTAGGGTTTAGGGTTTAGGGTTTAGGGTTTAGGGTTTAGGGTTTAGGGTTTAGGGTTTAGGGTTTAGGGTTTAGGGTTTAGGGTTTAGGGTTTAGGGTTTAGGGTTTAGGGTTTAGGGTTTAGGGTTTAGGGTTTAGGGTTTAGGGTTTAGGGTTTAGGGTTTAGGGTTTAGGGTTTAGGGTTTAGGGTTTAGGGTTTAGGGTTTAGGGTTTAGGGTTTAGGGTTTAGGGTTTAGGGTTTAGGGTTTAGGGTTTAGGGTTTAGGGTTTAGGGTTTAGGGTTTAGGGTTTAGGGTTTAGGGTTTAGGGTTTAGGGTTTAGGGTTTAGGGTTTAGGGTTTAGGGTTTAGGGTTTAGGGTTTAGGGTTTAGGGTTTAGGGTTTAGGGTTTAGGGTTTAGGGTTTAGGGTTTAGGGTTTAGGGTTTAGGGTTTAGGGTTTAGGGTTTAGGGTTTAGGGTTTAGGGTTTAGGGTTTAGGGTTTAGGGTTTAGGGTTTAGGGTTTAGGGTTTAGGGTTTAGGGTTTAGGGTTTAGGGTTTAGGGTTTAGGGTTTAGGGTTTAGGGTTTAGGGTTTAGGGTTTAGGGTTTAGGGTTTAGGGTTTAGGGTTTAGGGTTTAGGGTTTAGGGTTTAGGGTTTAGGGTTTAGGGTTTAGGGTTTAGGGTTTAGGGTTTAGGAGTTTAGGGTTTAGGGTTTAGGGTTTAGGGTTTAGGGTTTAGGGTTTAGGGTTTAGGGTTTAGGGTTTAGGGTTTAGGGTTTAGGGTTTAGGGTTTAGGGTTTAGGGTTTAGGGTTTAGGGTTTAGGGTTTAGGGTTTAGGGTTTAGGGTTTAGGGTTTAGGGTTTAGGGTTTAGGGTTTAGGGTTTAGGGTTTAGGGTTTAGGGTTTAGGGTTTAGGGTTTAGGGTTTAGGGTTTAGGGTTTAGGGTTTAGGGTTTAGGGTTTAGGGTTTAGGGTTTAGGGTTTAGGGTTTAGGGTTTAGGGTTTAGGGTTTAGGGTTTAGGGTTTAGGGTTTAGGGTTTAGGGTTTAGGGTTTAGGGTTTAGGGTTTAGGGTTTAGGGTTTAGGGTTTAGGGTTTAGGGTTTAGGGTTTAGGGTTTAGGGTTTAGGGTTTAGGGTTTAGGGTTTAGGGTTTAGGGTTTAGGGTTTAGGGTTTAGGGTTTAGGGTTTAGGGTTTAGGGTTTAGGGTTTAGGGTTTAGGGTTTAGGGTTTAGGGTTTAGGGTTTAGGGTTTAGGGTTTAGGGTTTAGGGTTTAGGGTTTAGGGTTTAGGGTTTAGGGTTTAGGGTTTAGGGTTTAGGGTTTAGGGTTTAGGGTTTAGGGTTTAGGGTTTAGGGTTTAGGGTTTAGGGTTTAGGGTTTAGGGTTTAGGGTTTAGGGTTTAGGGTTTAGGGTTTAGGGTTTAGGGTTTAGGGTTTAGGGTTTAGGGTTTAGGGTTTAGGGTTTAGGGTTTAGGGTTTAGGGTTTAGGGTTTAGGGTTTAGGGTTTAGGGTTTAGGGTTTAGGGTTTAGGGTTTAGGGTTTAGGGTTTAGGGTTTAGGGTTTAGGGTTTAGGGTTTTTAGGGTTTAGGGTTTAGGGTTTAGGGTTTAGGGTTTAGGGTTTAGGGTTTAGGGTTTAGGGTTTAGGGTTTAGGGTTTAGGGTTTAGGGTTTAGGGTTTAGGGTTTAGGGTTTAGGGTTTAGGGTTTAGGGTTTAGGGTTTAGGGTTTAGGGTTTAGGGTTTAGGGTTTAGGGTTTAGGGTTTAGGGTTTAGGGTTTAGGGTTTAGGGTTTAGGGTTTAGGGTTTAGGGTTTAGGGTTTAGGGTTTAGGGTTTAGGGTTTAGGGTTTAGGGTTTAGGGTTTAGGGTTTAGGGTTTAGGGTTTAG